ACAGTCAGCCCTCCCATCCACAGATTCCCAAACTTGAGTAGAAAATACTTTTTTGTTTTGGGGGTTTTTTTAATCCATGGTTAGTTGAATCCACAGATGCAGAACTCACAGAGGGCCAACTATATTCTTGCTCTTAGATTTCCATGACAGAACATTTACATTTCATTCTGTAACCATAATTGTCTTCTATAGTTTGTCCTTAGGTCAGAGCCTAACAGACAGTAACCTATAGACAGCACTAACACTATGTTTATGAAAACTTCCTTTTGCAACAGAACCAGGAAGTGTTTCCTTCCCTGTAACTGTGTCACAACCCTGTGCTATTCAACTGCTCAGAATCACGATTGCTGGATTTTTTTTCCTAGGGTTTCCTTTTCTTGTTGTAAAAGGAAACTGGTACCATCTTACCCATCCTATCAATTGTTTGGAATTCTGTTTCCCACTTTTGCTTTTTGTAGACCATTGATGTCCAATTCTAACTTGATTCATATTTGTATTGAGTCTTTTAAAAAATTTCTAGTTATTTTACTTATTTTCATGCATTTTTTTTTTTTGCCAATAGCATATCTTCAAGATCCTCCATCTCTATGTTCTATGAAATTCCTTTCTTTCCTGGAGGCCTATTCTGGCTCGAATATGAACTGATGGCTAAGTCACCCACACAGCTGACATTCTTGCTCATACCTGTTTTCTAAGTCCCATGTCTTCCTTGTGTTACTCTGTTTTCTACTGATGGAGTACATGCTCAAATAACTTCTCAAGAAAAATGTATATAACAAGCCGAGTCTTTACAATGTCTTCAGTAATTTGTCACTAGTAATTTAACAAGCATAGGCTTCCCAGGTTGAAAATCATTCCCCCCTGAAGCTATTATACCACTTCCCCTAGCATAGCTAATAACAATCTAATTCCAACATGATTTTTGTTTCTTGTAGGAGTTTGTGTTGCCCCACCCCAAGAAAGCTCTTAGGATTTCTCTGTATAGCTTATTGTTCTAAAACTTCCAAGTGATGTGAGGCCTAGTCCACTGCACCTAATCACAGTTCAGAAGGCCCTTTTTAATTGAAAGCTCACATCTTTCATTCTGGAAATTTTCATTGTGTTAATGTCGTTTCTCCTTGGTTTTCTCTGATCTTTCTGGAATTCTTATTACTCTCTTATTAAACCCCTTTGGATTCATCTTCTGTACATGTATTTAATATTCTCATATTTTACATATTTTCGCTCCAAGTTTGAAAAGATTTTCTCTAATTTAGCTTGCAATCTATTAAACATTTCATTTCCAAGGGTCCTTTCCCATTTTCTGATTCTTTTTTTATAGCATCATATTCTTGTTTAATAAATGTAACATCATTTCATATTTTTTAGTGGTAATTAGTTTTGTAGAGTTCTTATATGACTTTTCTCAAATTTTCTGAATGATATGTTTCCTCTGGGGTCAGTTTTTCTCTGCTTATCTTTCTTCATCATACTACTGTAGCCTTTCTCAAATATTTGGTGATTCTCAGTTGTCAGGCTGTTCTTAAAAATGAGACAGGAAAAAGGCTGACTAGAAATTCTAAGCACAGTGGAACTTACTGATTGGAAGGCTTCCATTTAAGGTGAATAGTCAGAGATCCAATCATTGTTCTAAGGCCTCTCAAATGCCACAATGTAGATGGCTTTGTGCTAGAATACCAATGACAACTCCAAATGCCCAAGTTTTCTCAGAAATATCATTCAGTGTCTTTAGAGAAGTCCCATCTGGTCATTTGCTGGTTGGTTGATTTTGTTTTTGTCTGTGGTCGAACACCTAGTCGCAATAGGGGGTTGTTGGCAATGGAGTTGAGTAGTAGTGTTGGAGGATGACCATTTAATATATAGATCTTCACTGTCTTCGTCTTCTCTTCATTCCAGTAACCTAGAATCCCCAACCTCTGCAAGGTTCTACCATGAGGGAGATTCCCTCATCTTCTCTATGACCCTCCAAGCATATCCTGGGCTACAGCTTCTTCCACTCAGTGTTCTTCCATGCACTCTGTCTTACAGAAATTCATTTAAATCACTTATCCTTTTGTTTTCTAAACTGTTTTAGGTATTGTACCTTTTCTATAATTTTAATTGAGTCCTAGGAGGGAGAGGAAATAATTATGTATGCTCAAGTCCCCACCCTAAACCAATAGCAAGGGTAGAAATTATCTCATTTTACATCTGAAAAATGAAGACTCGTATGATTAAATGACTTGCCTAAGATCGCACAGCTAGAAAGAGAACTTTAGGTCCTTTTGTATAGCCCTCTTCCAGGGTTCAACTTGTATGCTTTTGACTGTGCCAAACTTTTTCTTTGTCCAAACCATGACTCAGCTGGTATGACCTGGAGGTCTTACATAATACTATAATACTGTAAGTTCCCATAATACTGTAAGATTTAAATACCATATCATTTGTGTATAGAAATGACTCAGAAACTGCACAGACTACAAACTGTGCAATGACGCTTTATAAGTTACAGATCTAGAATAAAATGAGAAATCATCAAAGTCATAAAGCAGCTGTTTTATATTTTGTGAGTCAGGATGGAGTGTACTAGAGTTTGAGGAGTGAAAATTTATAGGAAGGGCTGGATTATCATTCAGGTACTGGTGGCAAGGACTTGGCAAACTGAGTGCTCTCAGCTCTATCAAATCCACTTTAGAAACCACAATTGGGGAGAAACTGCCCAAAGAGGTGGTGCAGACTTTAGAGCAATCGAGTGAATGGAAGAGACTTGCTGGAAAGGCAGGGGACCCCATTCACTTGGATGCGACTCTCTCATATACATTCAATACCTAATAAGTGACTACTGTGTACAGATACTACAATAGGCTCCAGAGATACTTTCCCCTTCAGCCAGGGTAATATCCCCAAAAGGTGAGGCTTTCATTTTTGGGGACTTCTAGAAATTAAAATTCCACAAAATCACTTAGGAACACATCCTATTCACAATGGTCTAAGATTTACAGAGTTAGAATTGTTCTAGTTCAACCACAAAAATAGTTTGAGGGTTTTTGAATAGTTTTTTATCCCACAGATCTTTATTGAGCTCCTACCTAATGACAACCACTGGGGCTAGGACCTAGGGACACATAGCGCAGAATAGGAGATTATTTCTAATGAAGTTTAGCACTTACCCACCAAAGACAATGCTAAAGTGCCTACTTTTCTGTTTCTCAGAGGTGAAGCCAAATTAACTCAAAGAAATGTAGAGATTACCTCTTAGTATGAGCCACAGAACACTGAACTAGATCGACGGCAAATGCGTTGTTGCTGGTATTAGGTCACCATGATATTAGTTTAAATACATAAATATTGAGGAAGAACATAATTTAACAGAAAATCCTTCCGTTTACAGTGTTTCTCTTGACTCTTCACATCCCCTGTGGCTGTTTTGGTCTCAGTCTGGCATGTAGAGAAATTCACTACGAGGTCTGAAATAAGTATGTACCCTCTATCTTCAAAGGATGGCAACAAGCCTGTGAACTTGGAAGGAGAACAAAGCTTTCTGGTATGATAAACAAAGAAAATGGAAATTAAAAAGTCTGGTTTCCTCTTTTTTGTATCAGCACATACCAGCTGTCAGACACCACTGAATAATCTACTCCTCCTGTTCCTGAAAGGTAGACAGTCATTATTAGAGCACTGCCAAAAGGAAGTATGTTTTAATTTTCAATAATAATGACACAAATGAAGCGCTAATGCAACAAATAGAAGAGAAACTTTTAAAAATACAGTACTTGCATTTGTGATTTTTTTGTCCCATCTAATTCCACTCTCTCCAATGGTCCCCAAAATCTCGCCAGCAGGCTGACATCCTGATAAACATGAAGAGGAAGAAGGAAAACAGGCTAACAGGCAGGGTGGGTGTGGCAGCCAGAGAGGTCTTGGGGAACAATAAGGAAAGTGCAGCTACTCAAGTGTATGCAGATAAGGCTTCAGGTTCAAGGGCTGAAAGCAAGTACACCCTATTACAGAGTGCCCACATGGGGCCTGATGGCAGACTTCCAATGAAGGAGCCCAACCTTTAGGTCCTTTTGTGTAGCCCTCACTTCCAAACAAAGCAAGTTGCAAAACCAGTTCTAACATCAGGCAGCAGAAAGCTTCCTTTCTTTGGGAAAAGCTAGTAAAAGCATCTCTCTGTGCCTTCCTACTGCCAAAGGGCCAGCTTTCTCCTGAAGTTACTACTCTTAGAGACTTGCAAAGGCTGTGATGTCAGTGTGCAGAGTTTGGTAATTAGAGTAAACATGAGTCCATGTTCATCCAACCCTGCAGGAGTTAATTCCCCTCCTTGAGCCTCAGATTCTTCATCTGTAAAATGTGGGAGGCAAAACAAAAGTGATTCTAAATTTCTAAGACTTTTCTCTTTCCCTCTTTACTCTTTCTTCCAATTAAAAAAGATTAAGCTGTAAGAGCATAATCGAATCCCCCTGCTTTCCATATACCTGAGATTAATTCACATACTTTCTGATTAATATGATAAAGTTATCTTCAGAAACACACACATCCAGTTTCAGAATGACAGCCCCTGGGGTCTTGGCTGGTCCAGCAGCACAGTAAGCAAGCTGATGAAGGCAGGGTCCTGGACAGCACCCACTGCTGATGCTCTCTCAGGAGACAATACCTTCCTTTCCAAAATGTTTACTTTTTGCTCAGAGCAATAATGGATGTATGGATAGGTCTTCATTTGACTCACTACCTGAACAACTGGCCTCTTATGTTATTTCTCCAAAGCAGAATTTACTTCCATAATTTTGTGTCAAGTCACCAGAACTCTTTGTTGCATTTAAAAAAGTAAGATATCACCCAACTCTGGCCTGAAAGTTCTTCTGGAATATCTCACAGTATTACCATGTCTAGAGACCACTGTAGCCTCAGTAGCCTAGTACATACTAGTGAGAAGTGACTTAATTAGCCAAACATGAAACATGTTCAATACTGCCTCTGTTGGCATCAAATTCTTAAGTATTTATAACAATACATTATAATTCAGAGTTGTGTTAGCAAGTTCACTTTATTCTGGTCCTTATTAGAGTTGAGGCTCCCAAATTTGATTCAAGTTGGAAACTGTCGATGAAGTGTTCAAAGCATATCCTACTCACAAATCACATCTTGTCATCTTTCATATCCACGTGAGAGACCAAGCCCTATTCCACTCTTGTTTAAATTTTATTATTGTAGTTATTAGTAACAAACGAATAGAAACAGGATAACAAAGGGGAAAATTCAGGATAAATAACCTCCTCCTTATGAATTAGAATGCATGCACATACACATAACTTACTTCCTGCCCACATTCTGTCCCACTGTACAAACAGTTATATGAAATAATCCACAGAACAATGTGAGCAGCTGATATCATGAGTCGGGCAAAGGACACCAGTTGTGTGAAGTCTCAAGCTGGCTTGGTCTAGATGACCAGCTTCTCCACACTAAGTGTACTTGTGGTTTCATCCTCTTCGTTTGACCCAAAATATCCTGGGAGGTCCAGCATCCTCTGCTCAGCCTCGGTGAGGCCAAATGACGTATTGTCATAGAAGGCAAACTCAGGCTGAGCCGGGAAGCTCTGACACCTGTCTTTTCTACATTGAGAAGGGCTCAGAGGACTCACCCTATGGTAGCTATCTTTAGGGGCAGTGGGTGAAGGCTGCTTCCTTGAGACACTCCTGTGACTGGGAGACGGTCCCCTCCGAGCTCTGGGAGGCTCCGTTCTCTCACCTCCTGCCACAAATCCTGTGGGGCGAAACCCTGGGTCTGGTTTCCTCATGGGCTGCCCAAAGGTGTAGGATTTAGGGAGAGAGCTTAATGGAGCACTGGTTCCACCGGCTCCTTGGAAATGGTCCAGTTTCTCAGGAAACACAACAGCACCTCGACTCTGAGGCCTAAGTCTGTCTTCTGCCTGGTCCCAGGGCCGTGTCCTAGCACTGTAGGCCGGGGCCTGCCGTGGAGTCAGAGTGGACATGCTCCTCTCCCTGAACGGTCGGGCCTGCTTGGTTTCGTGAAAACTGGCAGTCCTCCTGAAATGAAAACTCCTGGGGTGGCTTCTCTCCGACAGCCCCCCTCGGCTGCCCATGTGCCTCATCTGTGACTTGCGGATTAGGGTCTGGCTGGGGCTTATGGCACAACTGGCCTGAGAGACAGGGACATCCAGCCGGGAGGAAGGCCTCTCCCCGGCATTGACTGCAGGCTGCTCCAGAAATGGGGATTTGATCCGGAACTTGTTTGCTGCAGCTTCTTCCGGGCTTTCCAGGTCAAGGGCCAGGTCTAAGGGTGCTGTGGCGGCAGCATCGATGGCGGTGTCTGTCAGGGGACTCTGAGACACATGGTACACTTTGGTGGTTTCAGTCAGGCCCTTCTTCTTCATCTCCTTCAACTGCTGCTGGGCAAGCCGGTAGCTAAACAGAGGGGGAATTATTTTCTGGGCGTTGGACTGGAAGCTCTCACTGCCAGAGGCCTCGTCGTCAGGAGTCACCGGCACACTCTGCCGGTAGGTCAGGGGGATGCCGATGTCCCCCCGGCTCCCCGAGGGCCCGTCACCCGCATCCGAGAAACTCCCACGCTGCTCGCTGAGCTCACAGATGTTCTCCTCGTCCGAGTTCTTCCGGAAGCTGGGGGAGTGGATGGAGTTGTGTCGGGCGGGGGTGCTGCACTTCGGGGGACGGCCAAACTTCCTCCACAACGTGATGAGGACAGTGGCAATGATGATGAACAAGCACAGGGAAATCCCAGTGACCGTCACAATGTTGTTGGACTTCACTGGACCCTGGGGCTGAAGAGGAGATGGACTGGATGGCTGGAAAGCTACAAAACAGGAAGAGCAAATGTATTCTCTAGAATTGTTTTCTCTGCATGGTTTTAAGATCTCTGAGTGGCTTGCTCTAATTATGTAGCAGTTAAAGAAAGAAGTAACTAATCAAGAACGAGGATTTGTAGTCTTGACTATGTGTCTCTGCTGGCAACTTAAGCCAAACTAGAAAACAGAGACCCAAAGAAGTGAGGTGTCCACATAAGCCACAATAAAGGTGGCTTGGGCTCACTGCTCCTGCTGACACTTGCCTCAAATTTTCTACAAAGAAGCTGCAGGAGGAAAGTTTCAAGGTAAAATGGAAGTGTTCACTTAAGGTACATGGGACATCTATAGTTAAGTGTACCTTTGAGGTAGGTGTACATTAGGAAATTCTTACAAGTATAAAACTCAAAATACAAAATAATTTAGATTGTACCTAAATGAACACATCAAGAGAAATTCATACATGAAAATAAGACTTTTGACAATATTACTCACTTTTCCTTTCTAATATCCAGGAGCTGTCTTTCTTAAGTGTTAAGCCTCTGCTTTCTCACTCCCATTCCTACCTTCTATGCGGCACTGGTTTTTCTTCTTCTTCCGTGCTCTCTCAAACTGACCTGTCCCACAGCCAGCAAAATGTTTCACCAAGACTCAGATACCATCTGAGGCTGCAGCCTGTACTGTCACTGAGATACCTGGGAACCTTAGACCAACTTATGCCATCAGGCCTCATGTCTCTTTCCTCCTTGGTCACTGTCCACCATTCAAGTCCTTCCAGTCACCTGTCTGATCTCTTTTTTCCCATAGTCTTATTGCCACTGGCCCTGGACCTGGCCTCCCACTGCTCCCCTTTCCTTCCTATGGTACTTATGGGGTACCTGACAAACAAGCTCATCAACATCCAGAAACTTTCTTTTCTTTTTTTAGTATGTTTTTATTTATTTTAGAAAGAGAGGAAGGGAGAGGGAGAGAAACATCCCTGCTGGGGATCAAGCCCGCAACCCAGGTATGTGCCCTGACAGGGAAAAGAACCAGGACCTCTTGATGCATGAGTAGACAACTCAACCACTGAGCCACACCAGCTGGGCAACATCTAGAACCTTTCCACCAGACAGTCCCTTCACCTCCTTGCCTTACCTGAGGGCTGGATGACCACAGGGCACAGCTTCTCCCCACACTGTCTTGGGGGGAAGCCTGACATACTTTATAAGCAAATAGGGCCAGAAACAGGTGTGTCCTCCCTCTTCTTTCTCATTGCCACTTTCAACCAACTCTTTCACCTCCATATGAAACTTCTACTCTTTCAATGCCCAAGCCATTCACTTAGATGACTNTCCCTCTTCTTTCTCATTGCCACTTTCAACCAACTCTTTCACCTCCATATAAAACTTCTACTCTTTCAATGCCCAAGCCATTCACTTAGATGACTCTCCTCCCTAAATACTGTCAACTCCCAACCTTGCGGCAGCCTTCAGTTGCTAGGACCTGGGTCCCCATCTTCCTCACCATCCCATAGCTAGGACCATCTAGGCAACTTCAATATCCATCCAACATATCATACCTTCCCACTGTCTGTAGCTGCTCCTCTTCTGAAATCTTACACTTCACAGCCCACTTTCTGGTTATATTTCCCTCTCACTCACCTTCTGTCATTACACTGGTTATTCAAGCTCACTGCAACTTCTGATTCTGCATCCCCTCCACTTTTTCCCAATCTGCCAGCCACATCCTGGCCTCACTTCTCTCCCTATGCCCATGATCCACCATTAAAACCATTCTCCTGCCAACAAACTCAACTCTCTGACCGCTAATACTGAGTTATACCCCTTTTCTTGCTCTGCAGCAGAAGTCCATCCCTAGGTAAACTCAAACATGTGAATTCTCAGTTGCTGCAGCCAGGCCCTGATGAATAAAATAACTCACCCATGAAAGCCAGTGCCTGTGTGCTGACAGTGCCCAACCTCGGCTGTCTACAGAGCCTTCCATGAGTTCCTAAGCAACTCTCTCTTCCAACATCTACAATACTGCTTCAAAGTTTCACTTTTCTCAATCCCCCTACCTAATCCTTCCTCAGCAGTCTGCTAGGTAACACAAAAACAGAAGCTATCGGGCAAGTGCACCCAAGCTTCTTCTACCACACCCCCTACCATAAACCTACCAGCAACTGCACCTCTATTTATCTCTTTCTCTACAGAATCAGTAGAAGTGTCTTCCTGTAAAGGCAAGTATACCAAGTGCTCTCTAGGCCACCCTTCTCCAGGGTGATTGTCCCTCTGTACCAATTATCTCTAGCTCCTCTTGTATGCAGCTCCACAGAAACATGCTTAAGCTCTTCTCACTTTAAAAAGACCTCTCTGGAACCCTCTCACTACTGCCACAGCCATAGCTTGCTCCCTGTCTTCCTAGCCAAGCTTACAGAAAGAGAAGCCCACCTTTGCTAACTTACTACTTCCACATCATCACCTCTGGCTCCTGCAACCTGCCCCAGGGATTCCAGTGGTTTAAACGGCTTCTGTCAAGGTCATTAATGACCTAATAGCCAAATTCAAAGGAGTCCCTTCCTGATATTTCTTATACTCTGCAGCACTGGGCGCTGTTTGATACTTCCTGTGACTTTTTTTTCTTTTCTTGGTTTCAATGATAACACTCGCTTATTTAATTTGGAGAGAAGAACATGAGCTTTGGAGCCAGGGAGGTCTAGACCTCATTCTGGCTCCACCAGCTTTGCTCTCTCTACCTATGTCCCACCAACACTGTCAGCTCCACATGCCCAAGACTCACCATTTCCCCCCAGAGCCTGTGCCTCCTCCAGTACACCGGATCTCAAGGGAATAGCACAGTGCCACTGTCCATGCACTGGCCAGGACTAGAATCCTGAGTTTTATCCTGATTCTTCCCTCTGTCACTTGCCACATCCAGAGTCTGTGAATCTTTCCCTCCTCTGCATCCCCACTGTTGGTGCTTCATTTTCCACCTGGGTCACTAGAAAACTCTTAACAGACCTTGCTGCTGCCACTCCTGCTCATCCCAATGTGTACTCCACACTGCAGCAGAGAGACCCCTCTAAAATACATGTCCAAACCTTTAAGGCCTCTCAGGATCTGGCCCCTGACAACTTGTCCAGCCTTGTTTTTACCACTCCCTCCTGGTATACCATCCTCTAGCCACATTAAACTATTTTCAGTTCTCTGGGTCTCAATGGGCCATCTTCTTCCATCTTGCTTTCATCCCTGTGCTAAAATCCCCCCTCGCACTTACTCCTGGGTNCCACATTAAACTATTTTCAGTTCTCTGGGTCTCAATGGGCCATCTTCTTCTATCTTGCTTTCATCCCTTTGCTAAAATCCCCCTTTGCACTAAGTTCACCTGGGTAGCACTTACTCAGCTCTCAACCTTCAGTTCAAATATCACCTCCTCCAAGAACAGAGGTGTTCCCAGCATGGATTACCATCTGTGAAAGCTTCCATAGCAAGCTGTGGATACCTCTATCAGTGCAGGCTCTATACTGTACTATATATTATGCCTATTTATATGTCTGCTGNCTCTATCAGTGCAGGCTCTATACTGTACTATATATTATGCCTATTTATATATAAATNGATACCTCTATCAGTGCAGGCTCTATACTGTACTATATATTATGCCTATTTATATGTCTGCTGAGCAACTGTATCATAAGCCCCTTCCAGACAGGGACATGTCTTATCTATATATTCCCAGCCCCAGTTACAGTAACTTGCACATAACTGGTACTCAATATATGAAAGATTAATCAATTCATTCATTATTTAAAATAGCAAAATGACCGAGACCCACCAGACGGAATGTGGGCACAATGGCAAGTGGCTCCTCCTCCTCTTATGTTGAACAAGATGGACCAAATTAACATAGACTCAGACTTTGGCATGAAAACATCCTTTCAAAGCCAAACAAAACTCTAAAACTCTCAACCAAATTAAAATAGTTGAATGATGAAAGGCTTGTTTCCTGACTTATCACTCCTTTCATCTGCAGTGGCTGCTGAGGTCAGGGGGTAGCAGCATTGCTGTTGCACACTGAAGGCCTCTTCACTTAGCTGTTATCTGTGACCTGACTGGACCCCTTCAAAACTATAGCTGAAGAAAAGCCCAAAAGCTGCTGGCCTCACCCATCTGTGCCTCATCTAGTCTTTCCTCTTTCACCTGAAGTGTAGGAGATTTCCTGATGCTAAGTAGCCTGCGAACAGATCTCCATATTTCCAAGGAGTGGAAGTTAGGTTGAACAGGAAAAAGAGAACACTTGAAAGAAGTTATCATATTTACCCACATAAGCATTTATCTGAGGACCCCTTAGAGAAGCAGTAGGGGTGCCTGTAACACTTACCCTTTTCGCTAATTTATAATATACAAATTTCTAGTTCCCACCCCATATTAAAGAGTTAAGATGCCAGAACATGAAATAACAGTACATATCCTCAAAAATGATTGCTAATTTCAGGTTGTTAATGTTTCTAGAAAGCTACACTGGCCTGTATATAAAGGCAAAGTATTCAAGATAGGTAGCTTAGTATGGGGTCAGATCTAGTTCCCTGCTTTCTAGCTATATGGATGGTCTTAGGAAGGTCACTTACCCTCTCTGTGCCACAAAGTCCGCATCTGTACATGAAGATAATGATGTACCTACTTCATGTGCACAAAGCACTTAGGAAAATGCCTGGTAAGCAGCAAGCTCTCAAGATCTGAGCCCAACATAATAATAATCCTTACCTTGTAGAGCTGTGAGCTTTAAGTGAGATGATGTATTTAAATTGCTGGCACATACTAAATGGTCAATAAATGGTTGATACTGTTGTCACTTCAACAATATCAAAGTGCAGTAAAGGCCAGTGGCAATTGATTTTAAATGAATTTGAGAATTATGGAACTCTAGGTGGAATATCTTAACACAACATGCCATACCATAATTCAAAGGAATAGGTGTATTTGAAGAAAGTTATACCTAAGGAGGAAACTGTGAAAGTGAAGGGAATTTATAAAGAAAAGAACAGATAGAGAAGAGAGCTTTAGAAAGTGGTATGAGATGTAACTGGAGAAAGAACAGATTCAGGATGTGGCCCAAGGCTTATGAAAAAAGAGGAGCAGGCTCAGGGCTAGGAAAAGAGCCTGGGTCTGAAGCTGTAATATAGAAAACACAGGGGAGAACATCCTTAGGATACAAGCATACAGGAAAGAAGGATGGTAGAACTGGCTACAAGACAAGAGAGCAAGAATGATTTTCCAAGGTCACAGACCTGGACACTAACCAAGGTGTTGCCAGGTGCCTATAGTTTTGGCTAAAAGGTACCCTGAGATCCAAGCACAGAAAAACATCTAGCTTCTCCAGATGAGAATGGGACAAGGAAGTACGGTTTTCTAACCTGGAATTGGAAAGTGGGAAAAGTCAGAGCTTAAGAGGATTTTATCTAAAGGTGAAGACCAGAGCAAAGGCCAGCCAACTAAATAGGTGACTGGTTATGTATTAGAAGGTAGAATGGTGTGTGGGAAGAACTAGGATTCTTTATTACTGTAACTTGTGGCAAATGAATGGGATTCTGCTCCATAAACTAAAGCAAACCTAACTGAGCAATGTGAGCATCACATCTAGAGTCAATTCACATCAAATTCTCATTGAGCCTTCAAGGTGCTTAGAGGATGAAAGGCAAGAACTCTCCCCACCTTCTCCTCCTAGGGCTGCTAAAGAATAAATATAGGGCCATCCAGGGGATAAGCCTTGCCCCATTATGATAAACAATGGTCTATGTGGTCCCATGGAGCTTCTCTGGGATAATGGGCAGAAAAAAAATTTAATGTTTTCCCACAATTTTGGTGAGGAAAAGTAAAGGATGGAGAAATAAAACAAAAGTAATAACATAACAAAAATCTTGGGGGAAAATGATCACCTCTCCCATTTTTGTATTTTTAAAAATAATTTAATATGTCTGAATCTTTAATTTAGATAAATTTCCTTGTCATTTCTCTATCTTCTACAGTGTTAAGTCCCCTATCATCTCACTGAACACAGTCAATGACACATTAATGAGTACAGGGTCAGTACAGCCAACAGCAATAACAGAATTTTATAAGTCGATTCCTAAACTCAGACTAGTCATTTTCAGGCAGGCGTTGCCTCAACAATCTCTCTGGGAGAGACTCCCAAAGGAAGAAGAATACCTACCAGCACACTCCTCCAGGGAACACCGGGAGGTCTCCGAGGACATTCCAGGGCAGCCAGGTCTGGAGGGGAAGGAAGTCAGGCACAGGCGGCGACGCTCTCTGACACCATCCCCACATGTGGCACTACACTGGCTCCACGGCTGCCACAGTCCCCAAGTTTCTGCAAGGACATTAGCCATGCTTTTAATGCTAGTTCATTTGAGAATCAGAATTTAATTGCACCCAAATGAAGCAGCAAAACTCAAATCTTGGGCCTTGAAAAGTCAGTAAATAAAAACATTCTCAAAATGTAGAAAGCTGCAAAGGGTGTTGTTGCTCCTACTCTTAAAACAAAGGAAGGCTGTATAAACTACAAGACATTAACATTTCCAGAACCTATCGGAGAGCTAAAGTTACAGGGCAGCCAAATGGCCTGAAATACAAGGAAAGGCAGCTCCTCTAAGAAAAGGCAGGATACAAACATTGCTTCCTGGGGAAGGTGCCAAATTCATACAAGCTGGTGAGGAGAAGTCATTAAAAATGTAATGAACTGCCTAATTGGGGCTAGCATGAAAACACAGAACCCCTGGGAGCTACATACTCAAGGGGTTTTGTACCCACTTGCAGGCCACAGATCTCACCAGATGCTCACAAGAAGGACGGAGGGGAGGTGCAAAAGCAGGGAAAGCCTCCCTCTCTAGGTAGAGGCCTGAGGAGGGAAAGGGCAGCACTGTGGGAAATACTCAAACCTTACCTAGATCCTCCTCCCCATTTGCTCTGTTAACAAAAGCCTCAACCACTGGGGACAAGGCAGAAAACCCTATGACTCTAAGAGTACCCAGTGTTGCTAGGAAATAAAAAAAGAAGAAAACCCCTCATTCTTGGATAGGAGCAGAAAATATCTGGGGCCCAGATTGTTAGAGGGCTTCTACCAGTAGGGAGGGGCAGGATCATTAAGAAGGCCGCATCACTGAGACTCAGGGGCACAGTACTTGCCTAAGACTAAGACTGACCTGGCACAAGGATAGGCTCTCCCACCCCTATAGCTCACTCCCAACCCTGCATCATATCAGCAATTACCAAATATCAAATAATACAAACCTACTATTGCAGCAGGGGTAATAGTGACAGGTGAAAACCTCTCTGATATGCAGACTCAAGCCTAAAGCTGAGGGTACAACAAAAATATGGAGTAAAATCCTTTGGCAACCCAAATCCTTCTCTGGACACAAAAGTAACATTAGAAAATTTTGAACTCTGTTATGCACTGAAGGTAGCCATAGCAACAGCAAAACCCAAACAGCTCAATTCCTTACTAGATTGACCTTATCCCAGTACCAAAGGTCTGCAAAAACAGGGCATGCCCATTTCTAGGCAAATACCATTTATTGGTGTCTACAGTTCTAAGTAAGATGTCCAACTNAAAGGTCTGCAAAAACAGGGCATGCCCATTTCTAGGCAAATACCATTTATCGGTGTCTACAGTTCAACCAAAAATTATGAAACACACAGAGAAACAAGAAAAAACAATAAACTAGCAAGAGACAAAGTAATCAAGAGAATAATACTCAGATGTGACCCTGATATTGGAACTATCAAAGAGAAAAGTTAAGATAACTATGATTAATATGTTAAAGATTTTAGTGGAAAAGGTGAACAAGAAACATGAATAGATGAAAAATTTCATCAGAGTGTTGTACACTAAAAAGAATCAAACAGAAAGCTAGAAATGAAAACCATGGTAACAAAGATGGGATGCCTCCTCCAGCCCTGGCTGGTGTGGCTCAGTGGTTAGAGAGTCAGGCTGCGCAACGAAGGGTGGCGGGTTCAGTTCCTGGTCAAGGGCATGTACCTGGGTTGCAGGTTTAATCCCTGGCCTCAGTTTGGGAGACAACCAATTGATGTGTCCCTCTCACATTGACGTTTCTCTCTCTCCCCTCCCTCCCTTCCACTCTCTAAAAATCAGTGGAGCCCTGGCCAGTTTTGCTCAGTGGTTAGAGCATCAGTCCAAGGAGTGAAGGGTCCTGGGTTCAATTCCAGCCAAGGGCACGTACCTCGGTTGCAGGTTTGATCCCCGGCCTCAGTTTGGGAGGCAACCAATTGATGTGTCTCTCTCACATCAATGTTTCTCTCTCTCTCTCCTTTCCACTCTCTCTGAAAAGCAATGGAAAAAATATCCTCAGGTGAGGATTAAAATAAATAAATAAATAAAAATCAATAGAAAAAATATCCTCGGGTGAGGATTAACAACAACAAAAAGAATGTCTCCTACAGGCTCATCAGTAGACTCAGCGCAGATGAGGAAAAAAACAATGAGTCTGAATATAGCTCAATAGAAATCACTCAAACTGAAACACAAAGAGGAAAAAATGAGTGAGTAAGACAGAATAGAATACCTAAAAGCTGTGGGACAATATCAAATAGTCTCTTACACTTGTAATTTGAATCCCAGAAGAAACAAAAATAGAATAATGTCCAAAAATTCTTCAAAATTAATTAAGGACACCAAACTACATCCAAGACACTCGGAAAATAGCAAGCAATATACATTTTAAAAAGCAAATAAAAAACTTGGACATGCTATGTTCAAACTGCTAAAAAACAAACAGAAAACTTTGTGGCAGAAGGTTAGGGGAAAGATGGAAATACATCACATACAGCAGAATAAAGATGAGAATAACAGCAGACTTCTCGTCATGCAAGGAGAGATAATGGAGTGATATCTCTAAAGTTCTGAAAGAAAAAAATGAGCAACCCAGAACTCCATATTCAGTGAAAATATCTTTCAAAAATAAAGGAGAAATAAAGGCCTTCTCAGACAAAAACTGAGAATTAATTAGCGTATCTTCCCTACAAGAAATGTTAGAAAATCCTTTAGGAAGGGTTCTGGTCAAGATGGCGGAGTAGGTGAATGCTGTACTCACCTCCTTCCATGACCACACCAAAATTACAACTAAATTATGGAATAATCAACCTGGATAACCAGAACAAAAGTCCTATAACTAAGGATATAAAGAAGAAGCCATGTCAAGACTGGTAGGAAGGGTGGAGACACAAAACAGGCTGGCCACACACCCAAGTGCAGTGGTTAAGAATCTGAAGAAATATCTCAGCTGCAGAGGTCCCCCCTGAGGAGCAAGGAGTTTCAACCATCTGCTGGGCTCCCCAGCCCAGAACACCAGTGCCAGGAGGAAGAGCCCATATAACATCTGGCTGTGAAAATCAGCAGAGATTCCTCCATCCTTCCCAGTGAAATGGAAGGCCGCTGGAAACCCAGGTGTCCTCTTAAAGGGCCAACACAAAAACTCTCACTCACAGGCACTCACCTTGGGTATGGGCAGAGGGAGAGTGGCTTGGTGGGCACTAGAGACATATAGGGGGAGACTGAGTTGTGTGGCTTCCATGCAAGGGGGGTGGAGGGACTGCCACCATTGTTGCTATATTGAACCCTTCTTCCACATGGCTAACAGGGACCATATCTCCCATGTTGAGCCCTTCTGCCGGACCAAATCTGAATATGCACTGGCCTACTGAACTCTGCTAGCTCTACCCTGATGACTTGCAGAGACCTCATCCCACCCAAATCGCCCACAGGTCAAGGCTCTTTTGTACAACCAGCCTGGGTCTGAGTTGCTATCTTTCATTTAAAAAAAAAAAAAAAAAAGGCAAAGCAAAATAATACAAAAAACCTCTGGTCAAGCTTCGGGGCTGCCAGAGACATACAGGGAAAAATTGAATTGTATGGCTTCAGGGCAAAGGCTGGAGGGACACCACCACTGTCCCTGTGTTAAGCTCTCCCCCACATAGCCATATTGTTACCCTAGACAGTCAGTTGGAACGTGAGCAGCCAGCAGCATTGTGAGCATGGGCCAGGCTGGCAACTTCAGAGAGGCAGGCCACATAGGGGCTGCACAGAGGACACAGGCACACTGGGATCCAGGGGTGCCCCACAGACCCCAAATGGCTCTGCTGGCTATGCAGAGCACCATGTCCAGCATTGGGGGATGGGCTAAAGGCTGCTGCATCTCCAGACTTCCTGATGGCAGGTCCTGCAGCCACCACCCTCCCCACTGACTCTGCTACCATGATAGTCTGGGAGAACTGGGGAGTCTCCCACATTGCCCAAGATGGTGCAGGAGGAGGTTCTTACACTGAGCACGCCAAAAGCTAGAAAGATGAATGGATAGGGCCTGAGCATGCCAAAAGCTAGCAAGATAATTAGGTAGGAAAAAAGCCTTCCCCTCCCTAGCCCTGTAAGAACCATGGGCTTGAACAGGAAGGGGAATGGTGTTTGAGACAGGAGTCTACCATTCTCCCAGGTCATGGCACCTGAATAAACCAATTTCCTTTTGTACCAGTACCTGTCTCCCTAGTTTAGCTTGTGTGTGGCAGGTAGCCAAACCTGTGTTTTGGTTAAAAAAACTTGATTCTGCATTAGTCTAATGAACTCCACTAGCTCTACCCTGATGACTCCCTGAGAGCAGGCTAACCCAATTCATGTTCTGCCCAAGGCTCTTTCAGTAGCTAAGCCTTATGGGCAGCTTAGAGGCTGAGGCAAGTTTCAAGATGCCTTGAACCTTTTGCTGGTCTGCCCCAGGCCCAATACTGGTGTTAGCCGGCCTTAGTCTGCACTGTTGGTCCCTCTCATATGCATCCAGGCCCAGCACAGGCAGCTACTAACTGCAATCACTTTATAACACCTAACAGGTAGCCCCAGGACCTGCACTAGAGACCCTCCCAAGAGGCCCCAGAACACATCCAGTGGCCAGTTTCAGACCACAACAGAACACTACCTGATTTGTTCAACAAGTGGCACACCTGAAAGGGAGCTCTCAGCAGGCACAAGACCCCGCTGGGGTGAAACATGCTCTGTGAAGTCAGCTCCAACACAGCAGATCATATACTGTGGTGGTGGACAACCCTCACAGCCAGTCAGCCTAAGGCTCAATCCCACTCACAGATGCACCAACAGCAATCAAAGCTCAACTACAATAGGAGGTTACACATAACCCACACAAGGGACATTCCTGGAGTGCCTGGCTAAGGTGATCAGAAAAACTGTGCCACTGGGCACCACAGGACACCTACTACATAAAGCTATACTGCAAGACTGGGAAACACAGAAGATCTACTTAATACACAGAAACAAACACAGAGAAGCAGTCGAAATGAGGAGAAAAA